ACCTCACCTCGCTCCATTTGTGTCTTTCTATACTTTTTTCTTCCCTTTTTTTCTTTTTTTCAAATTTTGCAACCATTTCGATTTAAACCCGATATATGCACAAATATTCACGAATTAAAATTATATTAAGAAGTTAAAAAAAAAAAAAAGAACAAGAATATTTGCGAAATAATCGCGGCCAGATGCCTCGAGCAGAGATGCCAGGTGAACCGAAGAAAAGAAGCGAAAGGAGGCACGTGTCTCGCGATGAATATCGAAGAATCGATCTCGTGCGGAGACCGCAATTTCGAGCTATTCGATCCTTCCTTTCTACAGCTTACAGCTGTAGAACGAGATTATAAATTTCGGAAAAGTTGGTAGCGTCGGTCAAACTCGAGCGATCGCATTGTGCGCATTCTCCTTACCTCTCCTCGAGATCTAACTAAAAGTTGATCGTATCAGACGCGATTCTTCGAAAAAAAAAAACGAAATTGCAATTAAAAATTCATTAAAATTTCTAAATAAATTTAAAATTTGATAGTCCAAGTTGCTTACGAATAAACAAGTTTACTTCGACAAGTTGCCTCGATAATTTAACAAGTAATTAAGTATCCAAGTAACTTTATTCGAAATTTTCAACCAACTATAAATCTTGGGAAGATTTAAATTTTATTAGACAGGAGGAGGAGAAGGAAGAAATTTGAATCCCCGATTCATAGATAGGATGGGATCGACGGCACGATCGATGAGAACCGTGCGAGAAAGGAATGCGGGAGGGAGGTCAGATTGTAAATTAATGCTGGCTCTTTAGCTAAATTAATTGCGCCAATGGTAATTACACTTAGAACGCGCCGGTTCGCTCGCATCCTGCTTTAAACGGCGCGCCTCTAGCGCTTCTTCTCCACGAGAGAGTTTTCTTGCCTCGTCTCCTCCCATTTTGTTCTCAAGCGTACCAGCCACCTTCCGCCGCAAGAACGGCAGGGCCGTGTGTGCCAACCTGTTCGACGATAGTCGCACTGCCTCCATTGACTGTGAGTGACTACAAGCGTGAAACACGTGTTCGCACACGCACAAATATAATTAGTCGAACATTTTTGCGGAGACCGAGGCGATACAATGTTCGTCCGCCTCTTTCACTCAGCGACACGCATACCACAATTGTATTTGCCGTCGGAGGTACTACTATTCAACGGAATAAACCGTGTTCTGGTTTTGTCTACGGTTTCCATAGTCTTTAAAACCCGCCGTTGATACGTCATCGGGGTTTCCTGGAACGGGACACATCGAGTTTCAATTCGAAATTCCCCGTGACAGACTCTTTCACGATTTCTCCGCTACTCTTTTATCCTTGTATTATTATTATTATTATTATTACTATTACTATTATTATTATTCTTATTATTATTATTATTATTATTATTATTATCGTTTCCTCGCAATCGATAATTCGCGGATAAATCCCGCGCGAACGGGAAGAATTACGCGAAAATATCCCTCTCTCGAAAAACGATCGATCTACGATTACGCGTTTACGTCGATATAATAAATATATCCTTCCCTTTGAAGAGGGAAGGGAGAAAGAGTAAACGCGTCGTTCTCCCCGGGTGAGAGAAGATTGGCGGGAGAGGAATGGTGGATTTTCAACCGGCGGCGAACGAAAGAGAAGGAAGCCTGGAAGGAAAATGGGGGGGAAGAAAGAAGAGGGAAAGAGGAAGGAGAGGAGAGAGGGAAGGAAGCTCGGCACGAAGTCGGTTTTCTCAAGCCGGGAAGAAAAGTAAGGCGGCGACAAAATGGAAAGGGAGGGAAAGGGACGGAGGGAAAGGCGGAGGGAGACGAAGAAGAAACGGGGGGAGGGGTCTAGTTGTAAGTAGATAGAGAGAAGCGAGGTGGAGGAAGAAAGGAAGGGAGAGAGAGAGAGAGAGAGAGAAGGAAGGAGGGACGGGGGAGTGGAGTAGGAGGAGGAGGAGGAGGAGGAGGACCGTTTGTCGGACATACCTCGGGGCCACCCTGGCGTCTAATTGCGTGTAATGCACTGCCGACTTGCCAGGCCTCGAGTTGCCGCCAGAGAAGAGCCGAGCGAAAAACTCGGGTCGCGCAACGGCAAAACCCTGGCGATCGCGAGGACGCGGTGCTATGTCCGGCACGCTCGGACCCACACGACGAAGATGACCGGGACACGGGGACGGTGAACACCGCCGCCACGTTCTCCAGGACGTCGATCTCCACGTGCACCGCCGCCTCGCCTTCTCCTCGGGACTCCTCGTGGAATCTCACCACCCCCCTCCTCACCAATCGCTAAAATGAAGACGTGTTTCGTGAACCACCTGGGAATAATATCTCGCCTTCTCTCGCCTCGTTACCAACCCTTTCGAAACAAATTCGCGCCAACTTCTTCCGCTACGATACGACACCGCCGCTACGCTTACTTTCGACTCACGTGCTTAAGAAGCGTCGTACGAAATGTATCGAGATGATATGTCGTCAACTTACGATTGGATCATCTTCTGCGAGGCATGGCGTTTTTTCGATTCGAACATTCGGAATTTCCGAAAAGATCGAGTTTAAAAGATCGTTCGATCGGCGGCGTCCTTTAATCGCGAGAGATGACTCTCTCTCTCTCTCTAGGGAGGGAGAGAAGCGTTGGAAAGGTGGGGGAAGGGGGAGAGTCATCCGGCACGATCATTCAGCGTAGCTAAGATCCGTCGGTGGAGATCTTTTTTGTCGCGTCAGCTTATTATGAATAATGATTTATATCTGTGCGGATGTGTGGAAGCGCGCTGCGAAATAAAGACGGATAGAAGACGGGGCGGTGGGGGAGGAAGGGAGGCCGACCGAGGGGTTAATAACGGTCGCGTGTTGTAATACCTGCCATTATCCACAAAACCGACCGCCTAA